ACCTCTTAGTCAGGAGGGAAGAAACACACAGACACAAGTGATCGTCGACCCCGAGGAAAGTATGGGAAACTATGGGAAGTGGGGGGAAGACAGAAACCAAGAAAATATGGGAAACAATGAGGAATATTTGTATTTGTGTGTATTTATTTGTGTGTCCCAGAGCCCCTTCACTTAGGATATCTTGAAGGCCTGTTGGCGGCCTCGGGGGTCATCTTGCGGCGGAGGACTCGAAATGCCAGCTGGGGTTCCCCTCCTAAGCCCCTTGTGGGGCCCTCTGTGGCTGTTATCAAGAGCTTCGTTGGCCATCTTGGGGCCCTCTTGAGTGGTCTGGGGGCCTTTCAGGGGCATTCTTGAAGCTCTGTTGGGGGTCTCTGGGGAGTCGTCTTGGGCAGTCTCTGGCCGTCGGATGTTTTCGAAAGCGACAACGATAAAGTCCTCCCAACACTTAGACAACAAACACAGCAGCAAGGTTTTTGGCCTCTTAGGGGCCGCCTCGTGGGGACGCTAGGCCCTGTTGAGGCCATCCTGAGCGCTCTTGGAGCGCTCTTGGGATCTTTTCTGGGTCCTCTTGGGCCTCTCTTAGGGCGTCTTGCTGTTCTGGAGTTCTTGAGGCCTCCTGGAGGCCCTGGGGAGGGGGTCTCAAAAATGCTGGCCGATGTCCTGGAGGTGGCGGGCCCCTGGTCCGGGGCCCGCTTGCCGTGAAGGCCTTGCGGCCGGTGCCGCCGATCCTGAGGGCAGGAGCTCCGCCGGGACCCCCTGGCGGCTGCACGCCAGGACCCGCCTGGACCCGGGGGTGGGTGGGGCGCCTGGCGGCAATCTGGCCTGGGACCACCCTCCCCCACCACAAGCTGGACCTCCCCCAGGACCCCCTTCTGGAACCCCACCCCCGCAGGGGGGAGACCCCCCCCCCCGTGTCCTCCGTGTCCACAGGGAGACTGGGGAGGGGAGGGGGGGCCGCCGTGACCCAAGGTGGGGGGGGCGGGCGGTAATCTGACCCGGGATCCCCCCCTGCGCCCCTCCGCCCCTTGTCGCCCTCCCTCTCGTCGGGAGGGGAAAATGGAGAGGGACTCGACTTATTATGACGTTTCTTGTCTTTGTTCGTTCCGGAATTTCCATGGGACTGACGACGACGACGACCACGACCACGACCACGACCACGACCACGACCACGACGACGAAGATGAGCACAGCGTCTCACACATGCCGAAGGGTCGGCGGACTCGTGCAGAGATCATGTTTTTGTGTATGCACAATTATTCATGTGTGCACGGAGGCTATTGTGTTCCAGGGGCCTCTCTTTCTCTATCGCCTCTCTCTGTAGGTGTATGTGTAAACAACGACACACTTACATAGCTGTATATCTGTAATTATACGTGTATAGGCATGCTTGAATTTAGGTCGGTATACATGTATGTATGTATGTATGTATGTATGTATGTATGTATGTATGTATGCATGTATGATAGAGTCACGCGACAAGATGCGGCGCACCCAAGGATCTTTGACAAACTTGGTTCGGGCCCCCTCGGAGAGCCCTCAGGTTTGAGGACTGAGGCTTACAGGATTAGGCAAAGGACCTTGAGGCACTCCTCTTCGTGCCACAGGGGCACGGATGCGGATATGCAGTGATTTCGTGCATGTATGTATAGTCATTTATGTTGTCCATTTGTATCTATATGTATGTATGTATGTATATATATATATAAATACATCCAAACATGTGTGTGTTTCTTTGTGTATCCATATATTTCTATTAAACTTGTTCACGTCGTGCGAGAGAGAGAGAGAGATAAGGATCTATACATACTATACACATATACATCCGTACGTAGAGACAGAGAGGAGAGAGAGAGAGAGAGAGAGGGAGAGCGAGAGAGAGAGAGAGAGAGAGAGAGAAGAAGAGCGAGAGAGAGAGAGATAGAGCATTAATGAGAGAAAGAGAGAGAGATAGAGATAGAGAGGGAAAGAGAGAGAGAGAGAGATACATATATATACATATATATAGAGAGAGAGAGGGATAGAGAGAAGAGAGAGAGAGAGAGAGAGAGAGACGAGAGAGAGAGAGAGAGAGAGAGAGAGGGAGAGATAGAGGGAGGGAGGGAGAGAAAAAGACACGGCGCAGCGAGGACAACCGACGACTGGGAGCACAGAGCCCAGAGCGGGAAGTTGGCAGGCGGCACAGGGGAGATGGAAAGCTCGGGCGACGAAAGAGCATGCTCCTGCAGTCCTTAGTGGTGCGTCTCGTGCTGGTTCGACGGCGCGTGATGATAGTCGAGGAGGGCAGAACCAGGCGTGCTCCGCGACGGGCTGCTTGGGCCTATGGTGACCTCAGTTACCAGTTGGAGATCTGAGACGCCGTCGTAGCTTTGGGAGACAGAGGGATATAACAATAGAAAAAGGGACATATAAAGAATTTGTGATATATATATATATAAGATATACACACACATATATATAGAGATAGAGCAACACACAGGGATACATAACACATGAAAGGGAGAAGGAGAGAGCGAGAGAGAGAAAGAGAAATATACAGAGACAGAGAAAGAGAGCGGGAGCGAGAGCGAGAGAAAGAGAGAGAGAGAGCGAGAGAGAGAGAGGGAACAAGAAGGAGGGAGGGAGGCAGAGAGGAGAGAGCCAAGCAAGGTGCACCCTCGCTATATCTGACGTCATCCCCCTTCATCCATCCTTTCCAATTGCGCAGTTTTTTCTCTATATCCGACGACGCGTGTGATAGCGGAATTGGCAATCGAAAGAGGACCCATTGTGTGATGCGCTATCGGGCAGCAGGGAGCTGCGTACATTGGAGGAGGAGGTGGCGGATGAGCAGGAGGACTAGCAAGAGGGAAAAGAGGATGAGGAAGGAGGAGGACGAGGACGAACAGCAGCAGGAGCTGGAGTGGCAGGAGCGGGGGTAGCAAGAGGACCAGGGGAAGTCGAACGAGGGGAAATGAGTGGGGCGACAGCGATGAAAAGAACTCGGATCCAGAATGGTGGCCCGCGCTGGGGCGAGAGCGCCATTCTGAACGACGGGATCAGGGCCGCAACCCGAAAATGAGGGCCACGCTGCAACGGGAGCATCATATTGAAGCACCGCAAACAATCGGTGCGTACAACCATAACATAAACACCTTTCGAAATCCTGTGTGTGCATACGCGGAGAGAGCCGGAGTCAGGGGAGAGAGGACCGTAGCATTCAGGATGGGTGCTTGTAGTGAGACGGGAGCAGAAGGCTGATAGCAAGGGAACATCAGTGGGGATCAGATACGTGCGAGGTGGCCGCAATCGGCGGGTTGGGTGAATGGTTTCCACGATATATATATACATATATATATATATATGTTTATATATATATATATAGAGAGAGAGAGAGAGAGAGAGAGAGAGACAGAGAGAGAGAAAGCAGAATATACGTTGCTGATCTGAGTTAACCCTCGGGGTGCCCCTGCGCCGCTCTGGTCTTGTTTGCCAGCGCCCGTCCTTCGATCCAGTCGCTCTTGGCACGTTTCTTCGCTCCACCAGGGCAGCCCTGCATCAGTTTTGCCCTCCTTTGTCCCGATGCGAGGATGTCAGTGATTCTCGTTCGTGAGCTGGCAGAGAGGTTCGCATCCCTCTTTAGCCTCGACCGCTGGAGCGTGCCGCGGTCGGGGGAAAGGCGGGGTGCCACAGTGCCACCAGGGCTCATTCGTTTTCCGGGCGCGTTCTGAAGAACCGTTCGTGACCGGACTAGCGTGGGTCAACATCGCCTCCCATGCCTGCAGCGACATGACAGTCAGTGCCTGTTTGTGGTAGTGCTGTGTATTAAGGAGGACCATGTTTTTGTGGCAATGAAGCCACCGCAACCCGCCAGGGGGCCCTTCTCGTCCCTGCTCCTTTTGGACGTTGCGCGGACTTGAGGCAACAGCATGGAGCATTCATGTGATGGAAAAACGGCGGCAAGCCTGTGCCCTGCAACAGTGCGGAATAAAGGAAGACGCCACGCGGCTGTATAATAATGGACAAGTAAAGAACCTAGGGTGTGTTGCAGGCACAAGTGAAGCAAGGAGCCTCCTCCTCCTCCTCCTCCTCCCTGCCCTCCCTCATCCACTGGTAGTCGCAGTCTGTCTCGTGGCTATGCCGTGTGGAGAACGCGGCTGTACACCCGGTGCTGCGATCGCGGTGCCCATGTCCCTTGGACGTGAAAAAGGTCTTTCGGTGACCCTTAGGCTTCTACTCCACTTCGCCCGCGGCCTCGTGGAGGCGGCCATGATCATTTCAAATCTGTCGGAGGCTATTCGCGCCCGTCGTCGCCCCCAAGAGGAGGGGGAAGCCTGGCTTCCTGCGGCCCGCGAGTGAGTCCGAGTGAGCGGTGAGCACAAACCTGCACAGAAGAACGCCACCGTTCGCCGTTAGGACAGCACTCTTTCCGATCGCTCTGGGAAGGCCGCGGCACCCGAGACGTCTTCCAGAGTCGCCAGATCTCAGAGTTTCTCACCCGATTTTATCCTCGTCCTGTCTTTCTGTTACATGTTGAGTTCTGCGGTCGCACTGCCCCTTGCTCAAGAAGCCCGGCGCTCCGCAGCCAGGGCAGGCGGAGGACGTCAGTATCGTTTAACCGACCCCTTTCCCGTCCGCATCCCCATCCCCTTCAGACCCCCACCATCTCACCTCCCAAGTTGGGGATACACCCTTCGAAACTCGAAGGAAACGGCCTATATCTCCATCTAGGGGGGTAGATCGACCAGTGGGACCAAGGCTGCCGCCGTCTAGAAGCCGCAATGTTCTTCGCGAGCTCCTCGGCCGCCATCGCCGGGTGCCGCGACATGCTGCCGCGCCTGGCTGTCGCCTCGGTGCCGCCCTGTGCGGAAGAATGGGGTGGTGCCGGGCACGCGGCTCTCCTCCTCTTCCTCCTCTTTCTCCTCCTACTCCTCCTCCTGCTCCT